AATTATCAAGTGATAAATTGATAAAAATCAGAAAATCAGATTTGATTGATATTGATTGTATCGATCAACTGGTAGAAATCAATGACACACTCATTTCATTTATCAATTTATCTAGATTTTACCGATTTTATCGCATTATATCGGATGATACATCTGTTCTTCTGTTCATCCAAAAATGAAAACTGATTTCAAGCAAACAGTGAATTAGTTTACAACATGCAAGTTGCAATAATTTCATTGAGAGTTGAAGGATCAAACAGTTATAAACTTTTTTCAAAAAAAGTTTAAAAAAATCTTATCTTTTCTTTAAAACCTGGTTTGGAGTCTTTTCTGATGGCTGATATTGGCCAGGTTTGTATGGGCCCAGTTTTTCACAAGATTATTGATTATTGTATTTAGATCTGCCACCCTTTCAAAATAACGTCAGTTCCATGTGTAGTTACTTCCCGCAGTAGCCTATACATGTAGATAAAAATCGAAATCGATAAAAATCGTTAGCGATCAAGTGATTTCTATTGATTGAAAGCGGAAAATGGTGAAAAATAATCTAAGGAAATCTTTTAGCCTGAATTTCACGCATCCCTTCAACTCTAGTAGCTTGCATTTCATCTGATTGCTTCAAGTCATTTTCTCCTCTCAGCAACGTCTGAATCGACCAGCTGTTAATGCCGTCTAGTGACATCACTACTACCCGAAAACCGGGTAGTGATTTTGATTGATTGATTGTCTAAATATTTGCGTAATTATGTATAATTATGAGAAATTTTAACAGGATTGTCTCTTGGTATTCAGCGGATTGCATAAGTGGCATGCTTACATGGAGTTCAAACATTTCGATAATCTTTATCATAAACAGCAAAATTGCCCTTGTCTTTGAAACTGAATTGCTATAAAATTGAACTGCGAATGAAGAATCATTGTGTAGAGTCGGTAGGTTTTTCAGACCAATGTCATGTTGTCATTCAATGTTTTTGCTATTTCCACCATCAAGTGTAATTATTCTGTTAGCTTTTTGCTCTTGTTTCCTTGTTTTCTTTTTTCTTTCTTACGGACCAAATAGCGCTAGCTTCTTTCCAATTTAAGGGAATTGTTGTGTTTTTGAACTAAGTGTTCCGTGGGTGTATATATTTCATTGCATAGTTGTGACCGAGTTTGAATTACATTTGCAAAACTGGTTCAGAGTACTGCATGCAGTTGATAGTAAAAAAAAAGTCAAAAAGAGTAAAGCAATTGTGTCAGCTGTTCTGTATCATGCAGACATTTCAAAATTATATTTCTTGGTTTGCCACTTGAAAATCGTGTTTTACTTTTTGCATGAATTAAAGCAAAGGAGTGGTGACGTCACTGGGTGGCATTAACGGCCCGTCGATTCAGACGTTACTGAGGGAGAAATAACAACTCGAAGTTATCAGATGAAATTCAGACTATGACTCTAAGGAATGTCTGAAAATTCAGGCTAGGAAATCTTTTATCTGAAGTTACATTTCTACTACAAAAGGGTCTTTACAGAGAATCTTGAGTGTGTTATACTTTCTACATTTCTTATTTTCATGTTTGTTGATCAGTTGTTACTCTTGGATGCGTTTTCTCAGCTGTACTATCTACAATGTAACTTATGCTGAAAAACGACGGTGTCGGACTCCCATTAAAATCGTTAAAATCGTGAAAAATCGATAATATCCATTTGACACAGCAAGTTAGTTTACCGATTTACACCGATTTCCGTTATCAATCGATAAAAATCACTCGATTGCTATCGATTTTTATCGATACCGATTTTTATCGACTGACTACGATACTCCGGGATGTAAACAAAAGTCACTTGTTTACATATCTGTATCTTATATGACATGAACCCACTACCGGGTGCTAGATCACTATTGGGATGTCTCTTAAATAACTAACCTCTCTGCGAAAAACAATAAGTTAAGGTAAGATGAAAGTACTGTAGACAGACCTGTCCAGGTGAATGATTTCCAAAGACTGCCTGCTCGATTACCGCCGTTTTTCCCACACAACTTCCTCCCACAACAACAAGCCGTAGATATTTTGGCATCTCGCATAAACTGCTTAAGTCACCCACAAAAAACTGTCAATCGGCATGCAACTTCACCGATCTTTGCCGCCTACCACGGCAGATTCATCAAATTTTCAATATGGCTGCCCAGCCGCATAAAAGGCTGCAAGTGGACTGGGACGATTGGAGAACAACGAGAGGGTCCGAGAGGGAGAGAGAGAACTCTGGGAACGAGGAAACAAAAACTGGATGCATTTGCGTGAGCTCGGGCTTCCTTTGGGCAAATCACTGAGCACATTTTATCTTTTTTTTCTGTTCTCGTAACATATTGCAAAGTATGAAGTAACACCGCTGTATTAGTGCAAAAATTTTAAAAAATCTTTTAACAAAATAAAAAGAATCTGGTGTTACAATGAATTTTAAAATATGCTTTGTCGTTCAACATGAATATTTAGATAATGTATTCTCCTAAGAAGACTGTGTACTTGAGTTATGATATTTGTTTCCTGGGCATTCCAGCATTGATCTCTTGCGGTTTTTGTCTCTGAAAGAATTTGACCTCTGAAGCTGTTCAGGGATTTTTTTTACCTCTTTTGAAGCGTAAAGCCTTTTCTTGTGGCTAAATGACCGTTTAATAGAGGTTTTAGCTTCTAAAATTTGGAATAACTGCTGAATACCCTGCCTGGATCCTGAATAAATTGCAACGTGTAGTTGTTTTGTCCGTGACTTGATTGTTACGCTTGGCCTGGCTCGTTTGCAGGTCCGATCAGTATCGTATTACACCACTCTTCCTGATTGGGTAATCAAACGGTTCCAACCAAGCTGACAAAAGTGGGAAGCATTCAAAACTCATAAGAAATGTGGCAGGAGGGATTTTCCCTCGCGGCTTCGCCGCTCGTAGCCTCCCCGCAGACGTCCTTTGGGGTTCGTTTGTCACGCATTCATGTGAATGCGTGACAAACGAAACCCAAAGGACGTCTGCGGGGAGGCTACGCCGCTCGCTTCACGCGGGGCCTGGCAGCTCCGCCGCCAAGAAAGTACTCCGGGCACAAGAATCCCGCCAGCTACGCAGACTAAGCGAGATCTTGTCTCTTCTCTGACCATCACTACGATATCATGGGGAAATAGACCAATTTCGATACATTTAAATTCATACTTGGCTGCGAGGCTTGGGGGAATAAAACAAAAGAAATTATCTTGAGGCTCAGCAATGAATAATACATTTCTTTTGTTTTATTCCCTTAAGCCTGGGGGTCAAGTATGAGCTATTCATACAATGATGGTTCTTTTTTAGATTCTGCTAAAATATTCGTACTTAGTTACTACTGTTGTCATTACTATTAACTGTCAGTGCTGCGTCGTGAAAACAAAAGCAAATGATTTTATCACTTGAACTGTTTAAAGTCAATTTACCACTGGCCGTAGGCGCTATCCCTTTGTCATCACAGTCGGTAAATCAATTCGTGGCACTAACGAAGAGATAGTTCGAAAAGTTCAGCCGTTGAATAGCAAGGATAAAATCAAATTTTCGTGATTCTAAGTCTCTTGAGCGAGCAGCCACAACGGCCAGAGGTCATAGCCTGAATTTCATCCGATTACTTCGAGTCGTTATTACTTGAGAGGAGAAAACGACTCGAAGCAATCGGATGAATTTCAGGCTACAGAGGTCAGGGTATGGCTGCACACTTCATTTCTTATGGATTTTATGGAAGCGTGCCTACCCCTACTCATTAGCTCATTTTCTCTTGAGAGAATGTAACCTTTCAGGGACGGACCATTAGAAAACTTATAAGGGGAGGGGGCGGGAGGCTTTAAAGTACAAAAAGTATTATTGCAAGGGAAAATTACATGAAAAAAAAATCATGCTCGCCAAGTAACCGGCCTAAAAAATCTTCATGCACTGGCCTAAAAAATTCATTCGTCTCGAAAATTCCCCACCCCCACCCAAGAACATTTCTCAACGGAAGGGTAGGATTTCCATGCGCTATGAAGGCGCTGTATAACAAGCGGCAAGGTTCTTCATCAAGGTTTAATTAAGCCGTAACTAGAACGTTAACTGTATTTTTATTCATCGTTTTCATTTCTCAAGTAACCTTAAATTTTCCTTCCTTTCACATTCTATGTCAAACAATAACTTCAATTATTTGTTTTAAACTATGTACATAGTCAATTTACGGCAATCCAGTTAGTTAGACTGGTACCGTATTAATTAATTTCTTTCTTTCAGCAATATTTGTATTGGACTACGAGTAGTACCCAGTATTCCTCAGGGATAGTAAAGCGGGCGAAACGCCAGCCCACGTGAAAATCAATCCACGCGAGAAAGGCGAGACGCGGCTCTTGCCTTTCTCGCGTGGGTTGATTTTCACGCGCGTTCGCGTTTCGCTCGCTTTACTATCCCTGAGGAAAAATGGGGACTACTCGTAGTCTATGTTAGTATACTAATCATTTTCCCGGCGCGTCACAGCAAATAAACTGAATGGGCTGAATCTTTCCCCGGACAAAGAATTGATGTACTGAAAAGTAATGAACTCTCGGAAAACTCTCAGAAAACGAATGCATCTTATTATAATTATACTAAAAAAAAAATTACATGTAAACAATGACTGTAAGATTCAAAAGTGGGTAATTATTAACGTTATTCTCCCAATACGCCTCTAACAAATTAGAGAATAAATAATCCAGTTGATGCTGTGGTTATATGTACAATGGTGTTCTTTCTTCTGTCATTGCAGGTAGAATTTCCTTATGTTCTGAGACATTTTCCTGCTTTGCATAAATGTGAATTACCAAATCAGTCGTCGCTATCATATAAAAACTCCCCCCAATCTTCAATTTCTGGGGGAGGAGTTTCGGAGATGGGCGGTTTTGGCGTTTCTTCTTCGTCATCGCTCGATGAATTATCTTCCTCCTTTCCCGCTGCCTTCTCTTGGTCGATTTTTCTCTTGATAGCTTCTAGTCTTAATTTAAGCGACAAATAATCAAACACTCCAGAGTTATTCTCAAAAGGATCCTATAAAAACAAATTGACGGCATCATAAATTAAATCATCTTTATCCGGATTCAACCCAACCTCGTTCCCAGGGTTCTCTCCTACCCTGGGAACGAGGTTGGATTCAACCCTTTTGTTAATCTCCGTGGTTTCTTACCTCTGATTCAAACTATCATTCACCAGGGAAATTAATGTTTTTTCTTATTTTTTTTTTTTAGAAATATCAATGCACTTACAAAATTTGGCGACGCCAACACCTGTTTCTCCGCGAAATGACGTCTGAGGAACGAGCGTAGAAATTCCATACTGATGACGCGTTATTACCCAGATCTGGGTAGAGCCACTGATTGGCTGAAAATTTTCTTCAACCAGTCAGAAGCGCTACCCCGATATGTTGGTAGTGATACGTCATATGCGCTCGTTTCTCAGACGTCAATTCGCGGGGAAACCAGTGGTGGCGTCGCAACATGTCGGCTGTTTTCTCAGGCTAAAACTTAAACTGCATATGATTTTTGTAAAAAAAAAACAAAAAACAAAAACAAAAACAAACTCCTGAATCCCAGTGTGTTCGAACAACCGACTGTCGTGACTGGTGCATAACGTATTATCGGAGTCCAAGAAATAAAGGTATTAGAAATTAACAAAACTTAAATTTACGCGAATTTAATGGCAAACGACTTTTATAAGTAGAATGTTAACGCAAAAGGGAGGGTAACATTTCAAAATGAAGGACGTACAAAGGAAGTACAAACTTCTTGCTCAATAGACAACAGGAATAAACGTAAAAGATATCATCCGAAATGGAAACTTTGTTTGTGCTATATCCTAAACGTACGAAGAGGGTCAAGCGAACAAATCTGACCACTGCGAGGGTTCTTCACAGTTTCAATGATACACTGTACTAGAGGATCTTTCCACAGTTAAAATATTCCTCTTTCTTAGGTGTCAAAAACGACAAACGTTTATCGAGAATTTCGGACCAACATAATGGAAATTAAAGTCGCGGAAATTAACGCTACACTTAATTAAGGGCGCGGAAATCAACGTTTACAAAAACTGAAGCGACTTAATTTAGCTCGAATTTTGGAAATTTGCGTTAATTTAATGAAGCGTGATCATTTCATTTTATAAGGTATGCTGATTTTCTTACCTTCATTTTCTTGCCATTTAAATGCATCTTCTCGTAAATGATTTTACAGTAACTGTCGTAAAACTTGGGGAATAATTTCTTAATTTTCGTCCTGCAATAAAAATGAGGAAGTTAATGCAGTTTTCACAAAAGACGCAATCTACGTGTATTCAACCAGTCTAGAAACCTCGAGAGGAAAATGAATGACATTACATGTAAGTTATGGAAGTCTCCTCGACAAAACTCTCTCAAAATTCCGATAAACTTTGAATGCGATTCACTTTAAAACAAAAAATCCCACAATGGAACGACAAACAAACAACAAAACAAAACAAAACAAAACAAACAAACAAAGGATTATCCTCCCTTTCCAAGCTGGTAAAAATAGATTTGTACCAAATTTGCTTAGAGGAAAAAAGATGCAGAGAAGTGCAAACTACGTGTCAATTAAAATGTACATTAGCAGGCAAATGTGGCTGGCATATTCCATCTTTGCCCCTGATCACACCCCTAGTTTGCGCATCTTTGCATCATATTTGCCCTAACCAAATTTGGTGCAAATCTTTTTCGTTTAACGCCAGATATTTTAGAACACACATTTACGCGAAAAAGACATTTCTAAGGTTATGGAACTGCCAAATTCTGAATCTGGATTCTTTTTGTTCAATGGAGTTTTCCTGTTCCAGACTCCGAGAAAGTGAAGTGCCAGGATCGTGATAACTGCCCCCCTTTACCAGAGCAAGCAAGTCTTATTTTTGCTAAGCTGGTTTTCGTGACGTCCAAAGCTATCTAAAAACACCACCTGAGAGCCCGAAAAAGGCTGCAATGGAGTGCACTCAAATACCACTTTCTTTATTTTATTAACACACCAACCAATGCATTGCCAGCTACAATGCTGGTCAACATCTTTCCTGTAGGCCAGGACTAGTGGAGTTTCTTGCTGGGCTCACTTGCCCAATGGACAAAAGACCAAGCAAGCCATCCTCTAACAAATCATTAACTATAAGACAAGTACATGTAAGTGGCCCCAGACAAGCAAATGTGAGAGCCGCTTGCCCAAAGAACAAGCTGGTAATTCACTTTTTTTTTCGAGTCCTGAAAGTGTCTCTAAATTATTACCAGGAGCCGGTTATTACAGTACATGTATCAACATTCCAACACACCTGAGGACTGGGGGACATTTTTGTGCACCTTCTAACATATCGCAGACTGCAACTCGGAGAGTTTCATGCTGAATTACTTCATTATATTGGCTGGAGTCACCTTTGCTTGTTTCCTGATAAAAGAAGAAACAGTTATTGTATTTGGGATATCTTATAAAACCTACTGAGTCATAGACGCCAACATCTTATTTATGATTGGTTCCTAGTATCGCCAGCTGTCAACTCATAGTCTATTGTTCCATCATCCTGCAACACACATACAGAGACACAAAGCCACACAAGCCACAACTGAGATACAAAGACACATAATTATACACTCAGACCATAACATGTATGTAATACTAACAAAATAACAGCTGTATTATAAACACAGGAACCCGAATGCTGTAAAAGCTAATAAAATGATTAGATGCATTTAAGCTGTATTAACTAATTAAAAAAAATGTATTTACCTGTTTTTCTGTGTCTTTATGAGTCGTTTTGGAAGGGATTTGAATCCGACCAGAGATGGTTAACATTGCCGGTATAAAATGTTTGTTTGTCTGGCACATCGGACGCAACAGTTCTGTCTCAAGTTAACTATTAACTCTCCTTGGGAGACGATCTCTGGTTTCAATTCAATATATTGGAAACTTAAGACGTAACTGTCGTGTCCTATTTATGAAACGCCACACAAACAACCATTTGATACCAGCAATGTTAACCATGTCTAATCAGATTCAAATCCCTTCCAAAACAAGTCATAAAGACAGAGGAACACACTGTCAGGTAAATACATCTTATTATTTTAGTAGCTAATACAGTATAAATACAGCGGTACATCTAATTTTTTCTATTAGCTGATACAGCGTTCGGGTTGCCTGTGTTATGTACAATGATACAACAGTGATACACTTTGAGAGCTTTCTTGTAAATTTACTGTCATGTAAATGGTCTTTTAGTGTCTCAGGTGGTCAATGTTATATTTGCCAGTTCAGGCTATCTGGCTAAACTGAATGATAAAGCTCCCTTAAGCCCTATGTAGTCTTCAGGGCTGTCCCTTAGAGCCAGGGGGTAGGGCCCCCCGACTACCAATACTTTCATAAGAAACAGTGTAAAAGGAAGATAAAACCAAAAGAACTTCCTACATATACTTCTTTTATTCTCTGCCTAAAGTCTAATTTGCTTACACCCATTAACTTAAAATCGTAGTGACAGCCCTGAGTCTTGATCAAAATGATGATTATATTACACCTTTTGCTGTTCATTACGAGAAAATACGCATTCATTTGTGTAAAACGGCGACCAACAGCGCGAAGATACATTCATTAGCGCGAAAAAGCGAACATTTGCTCATAAATCAGATTCAATTACGATTTTTGCATAATTTTAATCAACATTCAATAACATTTTTGGGTATTCATTTGGGTCACTGGGCATACCAAAGAGAAAATATACTTTCATTAACGCCAACATTCGAGTCATTAACATTATCTTGATAATCATCAGGAACAATAGGCAAACATTTAAGTGCAAATGCTATTCATTTACACTCTTCTGACACTGTTTGCAATTCAATAGTATTCCTGGGCAGCTTTAGAATGGATAAGACAAACATTAATGCGCTTGTACAATCAATTGAACGTTCTTTACATTTAATATACAAAAATATATTTTCAATTAAACAATACCAATTCCCCCCCAAAATTGGCCCGAATTTGTTTAAAGAATCACGCCATACTTCGCCACTGTGTGTTCGTCGATGGCTGCGGCTATACATTTACCTTAGATGGCCAGAAGTCATGGTGGGGCGCGACAGGGAGTGGAGGGCGTACCGTAAAGTGTGCGGTCAATGAGGACGAAACTTGACTATGACCATGGCAATATTACCTATCAAATGTTTTTCTTGGCAGCTGCTGGAGTAAAGAATACTGTGTCGGTTTTTCGGTGACTTTCTGGCACGGGCAAGGAAAAAATGGATCCCGATAAGTCGGTGGTCTTTGCGTATGACGGGGTTCCAGCCCACCTAGATTTGGCCATTCCCGCCCCATAAATACACGGTTTATGCTTCCCCCCTCGACATTGTTGAAAAGGATTTAAGTTGTCTGGAAGCGACATCAAAGGCCAACATCTCAAGTCCAGAAATTTACAGATGTATAACAGGAATGAGGGCAAAGCCCTAGCAACCCCACTAGCGGAGTTCGAAAACAACAATTGCAGTGCTTGAAGCTCTGCACAGAAACATGACATTGTGACCGCAGCTAAATGTGCTAAAGGGTACCATTTCATGCAAACCTACCTCCCCAAATGTTTAAATAGCGAGGTTTTTGAGGGATATACATTTAAAGGACTGAAATTCAGGCAAAATTTGTTTGAATTTCTGTTGTTTAATTGAAAACCGATTTTTGTATATTAAATGTAAAGAACACTCAATTGATTGTACAAGCGCATTAATGTTTGTCTTATCCATCCTAACGTTGTCCAGGAATGCTGTTGAATCGCAAACAGTGTCATAAAAATGTTAATGAATAGTGTTTGCACTTTAATGTATGTCAGTTGTCCCTATTGTAATTGACTTTCAAGATGGTGTTAATGACTTTGATGTTGGCGTTAATGAAAGTATATTTTTCTCTTTTGTATGCTCAATGACGCACATGAATGCCCAAAAGTGTTATTGAATGTTGATTAAAATGCAAAAATCGTATTTGAATCTGATTTATGCCCAAATGCACCGCCGTAGACAGTATGAGGCGAACCGAGGCACTCGCCTCGGTGAAATTTTACCAAATACTGTCGATTTTTATTTTTTTTATCAGACTGATAATATTAGAAGATTTCATACGGCTGATTTCGTACAACGGACCGTGTGTTTGCCTCGGTTGTAGTTTCTTCCTGGCTACGGCCCTGAAATGTTCGTATTTTTGCGCTAATGAATGTATCTTCTCACTATTGGTCGCCGTTTCACACAAATGATTGCGTATTTTCTCGTAATGAACAGCAAAAGGTGTATATACCAACCCTTTTTTCATATCCAGGTTCATTGTGATATGGATTCTCATTCATAAGAGACTGGATTGAGATTAGAAGACTTGACAGAGTCTGAGCAGGACTCCAGGCTGGACCATGCCAAGTTCTGTTAAAGGAACAAAAAAGAAATAGTACATGTACATTCTTTAAAAATAGCGAGGTCAAGGTGCCCATACCATGCAAAGTCTGAAACATGTTAACACTATTTTTGGCCCATTACGTACATCACAGTGTCTGATAGAAAATTTTGCAGCTGGTTGAAGGGTATAAAGACCTCACTCATACAAATACAAAATAATAAGCACAATTAAAACCCTATAAAGTGGTAATAGGTAAATTAAACCAGTTGGCTGTTCTCAACACCTGTGAAACAAATCTAAATGGTGATAGGCGAGGAACTCATATCCTGGACCTCCACAGACAGCAAGTGTGAATACTGTGAGCTCGTGCATGTATGCTGAACACCATTATTACTCACCCATACATGAACGGGTTGTGACTATAAAGACTGAGCAAAAATTAATTTAAAGAGTAGGATCTAAAGGGCAAAAATTAGCACAGTCGGTTTATGCCCAGTTAATTAGTGTGTGGCTAGGCTAAATTTTTGCAGCTCTCTCAATCCTCCTGGAGACGAGAGAGTTTGACATACATGTAGTCATGTTCTCATTTTGTTCCTTTGTCGCTTTGATCTTTTTCAATAAACTCAGCCGCCAGGCCTACTGATTTACAACGTAAGGTATTTCTGTTGATTTTGCATTAGTGAAATTAAGGGTGAAATAACAACAAAAATGGACTTGAATAATTATTGTCTCTTTCACGATGGCTGTCAACAACCATCGGTACAGACTGGAAAATAATTATTGACAATCCAGATATGTTTGCTCAGCATTAATTTTACTAGATCCTCTAACCCTTTTTGTTGTAGGTCATTGTTTCAGCTTTTTTAGCTTAGAAAGGTTCCAAAACTTACCCGCATGCCACATCAAAGAAAGCCTTAACTTACAATTTCCATCCGCTGATTGAAATCTGTTCTAGGGATCTATGCTGCCTGCCCAAATAATCTGACAGGCAAAAATCAACAATAGAAAAGGCATGCATCCAGCCATCTGTGGGGTGGAGGAGCATCGATTTATTTCCTGAACAGCGACTGGTAATTGAACCTAGTACTTGCACATATATGTGACCTTCTTTGTGAGAAGTTTTGAATAATTTGATTCTCAACCTCTTACCTATAAAAAATATTGGGACTGTAGCTAATTTACATTTTTACATGTACCTTTTTACACAAACAGTACATTGGCTACTTACCCTAAAATGCTTAGGCAAACCGTGCCATTTGCATAAAGATTGGGGTTGAACCTGACCCTACCCCCACCAGTAGTCATTAGTTTGACCTTTGGAGGTTTTATTGGGTAATCAGGGGTAAAAAGGATCAGAAAGTAAAAGAATCCACCCTCATATGGTGTGCCACGTGGTCCAACAACTAGTGCATGAACCTAAAAGACATAAAAGAATATATCACGAGGTTCTTATTACGATTTGTCATGTTAAGCTCACTAAAAAAAGTCCAGGTGAGAAAAAAAAAATTAAGAGAGAGACTTGCCTTAAAGCCAGCAAAGGAGCAGGAGGTGTGCTGATCCTCACTAACATTTATTTGGAAGGTACTTAAAATGACTACAGTATGACTAACAATCAAGGACAGTGTAAGAATTATCATTACCATATTATTTCCTTGAATGATAGCCATCCCTCGATTTATCCCCTCCCTCAAATAATCCCCCCAAACCATTATCATCATCTTCTCTTTCATTTATCCCCCTCCCTTATTTTTATTTGAGAACAAACCTTTGTAATGTCATCTTCATCGGCAGCAATATGAAGCCCAGGTGGGGGTTCCTTGTACATGTTTGTAATATCCCTTTGCAAATTAACAAAAAAAATAATAAATGAGAGAAAGCAAAAATAACACTGCATTTGATTACAAATTTGATTAATATGAAGATAACTTTCAAAGTTACAAAATGTGATCTTCCAAGGGAAAATGTAGACTAATGGCTTTCCATTAAACAGATAAAATGCATGGCTTCTGAACGGGTTGAAAATGGCTCACTCACCCATTCAAATGGGTTCTTCAAACAGCTGAACAGTTTATGAAGTATTCCCAATGGCTAGCATGAACAGTTGAATGGCTTACTCACCCGTTTGAACGGGTTGACATACATGGGTGAATGGATTTCCAATCAATTGTGAACGGCTCATGAAGAACCATGGTGTCATGTTATCATTCTGAAGGAATGGACAAATTAATCTGGTCCAATTTAGGTTATGATAAAAGCTGTTCTAAAACAAGAAAGCAGTTAAATTTTGATAAGCAGCACTTTGTACTACATTCTACTGAAGCAAAACTCGAATTTAAAGGAAAGTTGCCATTTGTTTATCTTTACTGTGTTGTGCGTGACATCCGCTTCATTTACCGGTATTATTTGAAGTTGCACAAAAACATGGCAGCTTTGAATTTTGCCTGTTGGCTTGTTTTCTTTTGACAGCAACTTCAATGCAGTAAGAAAATTCTTCCATGCACGATTCTATTTCTAGTTGCAATTCTCAGATTACAGTACGTCTTACCAAAAATTAATTTGCATAAAGCAAACCTGAGTTACATCAAGCGTTTGTACGCATTGCGCGCGCTTAAAAAAAGTGGCCTCACTATCACACAGCTAGTGCAAGTGTACCGTATCATTGTAAGATCTGTACTTGAATACGCCTGCCCTGTTTGGGCAGCCCTGCCAAAGTATTTAGATGACGTTATAGAATCTGTAGAAAAAAGGGCCCCACGCATCGTTTTGTCCAACTGTCACTATGACGACGCTCTAATTCAACCTGGCATCACTGCCCTTTCCCAGAGAAGGGAGGAAGCTTGCATTAATTTTATCAAGCGTGACTGCCTGTTGTCTCCAGTACTCAAGCCGTTAATTCCTTGTGTGTCAATTGACAGGCCATACTGCCTCCATTCAGGCGAATGTGTTCCGGTGCGCCTTGTCCCCAAGACAAAGCGATTCGCAGATTTCTGCACCATTAAGTTTCAAGACCAGTTGTAATCTTGTGCTTGTTATTTTTTCTCTGTTATGTAGTGCTTTCAATCATATTTACATAATTATCTATTTGATTGTTTTTGTATTGTATTGTCTTCTGTTAGTGTCACTGACCTTCCTTGTAATTCAGCCTTTAGGCTGCGAGAGGGATATCAATAAACTACTATTATTATTATTATTATTAGGTAACACAATACTATCCACTTGAATGAGAAGAGAGCGAATGACACACGGGCTTCTTTAATTGATTCTCTGTATTTTTTACATGTATGTAGAACAAGTCATTGGCAAAAAATGTTTCATTTGTAATTTAAAAATGCAGAGAGCAAAAGTGTTCAGGTTTCTTTTGAAATGTTTTGTTTACATACAGGATGTTCTACTTGTATCCTCTAGATATCATATAGGATATCTTTAGCTTAGATTTTTTGTCTGATAAGGGATCGTTGATGCAGAAAAGCTCACAGTCTGCTATATCTGAAAAAAAAAATCCACTGCATGATTGCTTGTGTTTGCACATTATTTCAGTAAGGGCAAAATAAGAGTTCAAAGCCGATAAACTTGTGCAAATAAAGTCGAACAAATCTTGAAAACATTGAATTAAATGACCGCTCAAACAAGTGAAATTTTTTGAACGGATAGCGCGACTTGTCTCCCATGTCATTCAACAGAAAATTCAAAGGGATGCTACAATACGAATGACCAAGCTGTTCAAACAGCCTGATGTCTTCAACGAACAAGCAATCAAGTCATTCAAATGGCCTGATGTCTTCAACAAACGGATGACAAAGTCATTCGAACTGTTTGATGTTTCTAATAAAGGGGTAACTAAGTTGTTTGAAGGGACTGATGTTTCCAATGAATGGGTGACGAAGCTGTTCTAATGGGCTGATGTTTCTTATAAACGGCGACCAAGCCATTTGAACTGTTGACAAACGTATTGTAAACGGAAAGCCGTTTGAAAACGGAAAGCCATTAGCGTACGTTATTTCAGTGTAAGGTCACAAATGGTATTATTTTAATACCATTTAAGCTCTAAATTTAAAAAATGATCAGCATCAAATCTCTCATGACTCCAAGTGTCGTATCAGATTCAATGCTATGTGAAGAGGAGTGGTCACAATAGCATTAAGAATTTATCAAACATAATCACCATCGAGAATAGTGCCTACTAACATGCATCGACCAGGAAATCGGACTGTCCCACGACTATTTGCGAGCTGAAAAAGGGTTCTGTTACATGTATATACAGCTTCCTGTCACTCGACCTCTGAGTAAAGTGTTTCGGTTTTGATAGTCACAAATGCGAGCACTATTAATAACATGATTGTAGGAAATGAAAGCTACAATAAAATAATAATTATTATCATATATATTCGTCACATGTGTTGAAATTTCACACATTACAATCCCCCCGATATCATATTGATCCAAGTATTGACCCATTTGTAAAAACGCGAATCTCAACATTGGGAACATCACAGGGAAAAAGAGAAAGCGTGACATGAGAAATCCTCATATCCAGGGTTTCGACGAAAGTTGGGTATAATATACCCAAGAGAGAATCAGGCTAAATCTACTGCAGCATATATTATATGCTGCAGTAGATGTAGCCCGATTCTCAGACGTCCGAGGTCGTTCGCGGTCCCTTCGCTTTCCTCCGTCTCTCGACGGGAGAGGGAGGAAAGCAAAGGGACCGCGAACGACCTTGGATGTCTAAGAATGATGACCTTTACAAAGACTTTCGCCACATAACGTGAAACATTATCATGCATGTTACCTCTGGATTCTAAAAATACAAAGTGCCGAAAACATTTCCTTCGGATACGATGCACGAAAACACGGAGTTGCTGGAGCTTTCGATGTCACCACAGAGGATGCTTCTGCCGCCATCTTGTGTATTAATGACGTCATTATCTAACGGCTTCCTTGTTTCCACTTTTCTGTCACCTGAGAGGAAGGAGAGTACCCTGGGTGCCAGAGACTTCCGGTTTCTGTCAAGTCTTTACAGACAGCCGTCTTCTGACAGTGACCCGCGCGAAAAGCCTTTTTCTAAGGATAATGTGGGTCTATGGGCATTTCCTCACGTGCCAGCCCACATCAACACAGTTGGAGACTTTCAAACTGATTGGCGTAAATGTAACCCGATAAAAAGCTCAAAGGTCAACGGGAACGGTAAAAAGCACCGCTCCNGACACTCTAATAAACAGAACTACCCCCATCCATGTGTCATTTCACACCTTTAATACTATGACGTTTTCTTCATTTCTGATGTGGCTTCGTGTAATACTTTTTTTTATAGTGTATTTGTTTTTTTCTCACCATCCTTTTTACGGCTTTCATATGTTTGTTACGTTCTCCCCCCCCTCCCCCCCCCCCCCCCCCAAATTTTGCGTTACCATTGTCTTTGATTTCTACTTAGCTTGGGATGACTGTAATTCCGAAGATGTGTCGGCCTTCGGCGGACACCGAAAATTCCCGCCGCACGCGAGAAAAACCTCTGGTACCCAGGGTAGTAATACCCAGGAGACATTGGAAATAATTGTTATGCAAAATTTTGAGGGGGTAAACAAGGTGCACTATGGTTTATGTGAAAATGGCGAATTGCATAATTTCGTATTTTCTTTGTGCTGATTAGCCTGAATTTCACACATGGCTACGAGTCGCTTACTGAGGGAGTAAGCGACTGAATTCATGCTAACTTCAGATTACAAAAAAAATCCCGGGCTATGTGGACCTTGTTCCGGTTGTTCAAACGATGAACAGTGCTATGCCCCGGATATCCACTGGATAAAGATTTAAGAGGTGGATAGCGTTTTCCAAGCTTTAAACAACTGTGGGCTGTTCGAAACCTAGGAAATGTTTGCAAGACTCGCTCGAACAAAACGCAATCTCAGCAGGCCATCCAAATACATTCCCTGCTATTCTGTGCAACTCATTAAATTCCTGCTGTAGGCCCATCTACATGTAAGACCCGGGATGTAAGACCAGAAACAATACAAGAGGGAAGCTAAAGAGAAAAGAAGGCTAGAAGACGAACTAGCATACAAGCACTACCACCCTGTAATGGGGTACACTCATTAAAAGTGGGAAAGCTTAAGGTAGGATTTCTTGACCGCCTCTACCTTTAGCAGCTAGCCGGCTTGACCACTGTCGGTCTAAAGCTGGACAAGATAAAGGTAGTTCGCTGCGATTACTATCGACAGGAAACGGGAATGTCGAGACAATGAGTTGCTCAGCACTGAGAAAGAGAGTACTAAAGACTCAGATAGAGTCAGCAGATGAGTGACGCGCGAGCATAGCGAATATGATCTAGTCATTGCTGATCTCGATGAACATGTAGTTGTTCGAATGCCATTTTGAGCTCATGGATGACTGGCAACACCAATTGAAGAATGAAATTGTTAAAAGAAATTAAACGTCGTTGGAAGAATAACCTGCGATCGGATGTCCTTCTTCCCTTTTTTTTTGGCGGGAGACGAGGAGAAACATAACGTCTGATCGCAGGTTATTGAAAGAGTAGAGCGTGGCTCATTGTTATATGGGCGAATTGGGTACATTTTTGCCCAATAACATGGAGCAAGATGCGACTGACTGAAAGTGAAAGAGCTATCGCGTAATCGCGGCTTGAAGATGGGATCTCGTTCATTGTGAAGCTAATAAGCCAAAGAATCCTAGCTATGGAAAATGGATCTGGAACTGTTAAAGCGACTTCAGGGAATATTTATGTTACTTGGTTTATTTGGACAACCGACGAATTAACGATTTGTATTTGTATGTTGTAAAGTACTCACACACAAAAAAAAACCTTACATCCTTATCACGTTAAACATCCTCGACATTTTTTTAACATCCTTTTTTTTGGAAGTTTTGACTGAAACTCCTGCCACATTTTGATGTAATGCAATGCATCTTCCACAGCTTTTGCTGCTGTACATTGCTTCTAATTCAAACGGGAAAGTTATGACGTAAAGTTGGTCACGGCGCTAGCTTAATGCGCCTTTAGACGGAGCCATCTCAAACAAGTTATATTACATTCTGCCAAAACAAAAGGAAAGTTATAACAACTTCTCGACCCCATAAACCGGGGTTTTCAACTTAAAATGAATCTTTTCTTTTATTAAGTTGCATATAGGTCGCATACTTATCCAATTCATCCAAGGGCAGGCTTACAGGAGCCTTTGATTAACTTCTGTTCAACTAAGCAAATAACTGAAGTCACGGTACATTAGCACGCATTTAATGAAATAACAAAATAAAACAAATCAAAACAAAGAAAAAAAGAGCAAAAGACGAAAAAATTAGCCCAGGCTTCAGTTAAAGGACGAACTATTACAGTACATATCGAAATGGAAAAGCGAACAGGAAAAGTGGCATTGGAAATTACAAATGGCCATTTCACCTTTTGAAAAGACGTTCATTTTCTTTTCGTATCTCATTGCTACAGATGTTCAAGACATCTGGCTTGCTTCTTCGGTTCCGGTCAAATATATCTACAAAACTCTTTTCTTTTCTATAATTTTGTCACGCATGACACTCCTGATCGAGGCTGTTGACTGAGTCTCATTTGTGAGTTTAAAAATGTTTTGCTCACCTATTCACAACTTTAATTTCCGGGTTTTAGCTTCAGTATTTTTTTGTTCTTTGCGACAGTTTTTCGCAACATTTTCAGTTGCTCCACATTGGGAGTTTTGAATAAATATCGGGTACTAAACAACACTTCGAACGCAAAAAATACGCAATACTCAGTTGCGTAGCTTTAAACTACATTTTATTATGTCACACTACACTTTCATTACAATGTTTAGAAAGCTCAAAAATGTTACGCATTGAAGGATGTCAATGACGGTGCCAGGGGAAATTTAAGCCGTCGATGGTTATTTCTCTTTTATCTCTCTTATATCTATTAACCGTTGGTAAAGGTATCCGGATTCCGGAATCCGGGAAATCTAGGAATGCGGAATCACGAATCCACCGCGTGTAACCCAAAATGAGGGTCTCAATGGGGTGGTGGCATTTACGGTTATCGGCTAAAATTTTGGCTCTTTTACGGCTATCGGCTAATTTTTTTCAGTTACGGTTAACACAAAAGTTAAAAATTAACTTCTTTTGTTTCAAAAAGTTAAATATTAATCAACCTGTATTATTTGTATCTTTAAAACAAAATAAAGGTCTTGAGATCATCTCGGGATATGAAATAAGCTATTCTTTTGAAAAAATTTTAACATTTGATAGATCATACTTTTTATAAAGTATTCCACTTCTAATATTATTTTACACACAAAAATGTCAATAGTCAATTTAAAAATAATCTTTGTGAAAAAGCAAAGCACACACGCGAACGCCTAACTCAAGGCCGGGGCGAGACACTCATTACAACAGAAATGGCCGTTTTCACACTAGAGACGGATTATTCGTGTGAGACGGGTTATCCGTTTGATGATTCGCGTCAGATAGGTAATACGTCTTAATCTGAAAATGGAATAGTTTTAATTTTGCATGAACAATCCGCCTGACTTTATCCTTCAACTTCGACGGACAGTTTGAAGACGGGATTATCCGTTCCAGATAGCCTGTGTACAGCCGCCCCTTCCCCTCAGAAAAAAAATCGGAGAGGGGGTGTCTGTCCGGATGGGGGCGACTGTACACAGGCTAGTCTCAGACGGATAATCCGTTTCTAGCTCTAGTGTGAAAACGGCCAATAACAAAATTCCCGTGTCCAGTGTTTTTAATGGTAGCGAAGGACTGTACGGAACTACTGTCAGCCGTTTTGCCTTGTCCGTAGGCCTCATTATTTCGCGCGGCTAATGCGTTTCGGGTCACGTGGTCCGAGCGAGTTCGGCACCGAAATGCCTTGACCGAAATTGCGTGGGAAGACGCCGTACACGGACTAGGCATGGCAATGTCTACCGTAGCGTCAGAGAAAAACAGGGAAATGTTGTTTATCGGCAACTTGTTTTACAAACAGTGAGATCTCTTCGTGTTGTTTCACTAGCGCTTCGAGGGCACGACCTCGTCTAAATCCAACCTCGTCCCCAGGGCGCTTTTCCCTGGCTTTGGGGGGCCCCGCCCCCAAAGCCAGGGAAAAGCGCCCTGGGGACGAGGTTGGTCTAAATCGCAAATATTAATCCCTAGCAAGAAGCAACACTTTCACTATGGAGAAAAAAATTAGTTCCCCGAGAGAGCGGCGGAAATGGAAATGGGTCTTGGTCTTCACCTAGAAGGCGCTTTACCTAACGTGCGAGTCACACTAGCCGGGAAATAAAAAAACGCAACCATAAATGAGTTTAGTACCTTCCTTCAAATTAGCAAATCTAGGGAACAATTTCTTGTACGGTTAACTCTTTTTTACCCTATTTACGGCTAACGGTTAAAATTTTTCAATTTTTACGGCTATCGACTAAATTTTTGGCCATTTTACGCCTATCGGTTAACCCCATTGAGACCCTCCAAAATCTAAGACTGTCTTACATATCCTTACATTGGCGTGAGTTCAACCATCTTGCTGATCGTGTTGGGTGTCCCGTTCTAGTTCTTGAACTCAAATCATGCATGTCATGTCCAAGTTGCGACATAGAAATCTCCCCGGTCCGCCAAGATTATCATTGTTTTCAATGCTGTGATTACACTATTTTCAAAGGGTATATAATTTGCAGAGTAATAATTAAAGGTTTCTTAATACATGAACAAGTAAAAACTAACGCGGATAAAATCAAACTACATGCACACATCGTAAATTTAAGGTAGTGAATATAGAGCCACGGTATGGGTACCTACGGACGTTGATTTCGTGGCCTGTCCTCAATCATGCGAAATCGTCGCACACCAAGAATTGTTTTGAGTGGCATTAACCAAAACGACGACAGAAACGAGAAAATATAAAAAAAGCAACAGGTTAATAAGCA